ATTGTTTCCTGTGCTTTAGGCCAGCAGTGAAACAAAATATACCTCTTACCATAACCACATTTTGTTCCAGTATGATGAAGGGGTTCATATAGTTTGTCCTCTAGAGTGGTCCTTTTTCAGAAGACTTACTATAGAAAATCACTGAAAGTCAAGTCAGCTTCTTCACTGCAGATCAGGATCCGTCACTGTTTGTGCTTTACTTCCTGGTTTGGTGGTTGGTTTGTTCTGAGCAAAAGGATATACCACAACAAAGTTCTGTGCAATGGGTCCTGGCAGAAATCGTGCTTAATTTCCTTCTGGGCTATCGTCCTGCCTCTCCTCCCCCATTATGAGAGCATCCCCCCCCCACGTGTTTTTTTCTCTCCAGATTTAATTTGCACCATTGTACCCATATAGCCATTCATCACAATTTACATAGTTGATCTCTGCTAATTTCTTTCAGCAAAAGAACAGCTAGAGCTGGTGTTGTCTAGAGGCTAAGAGACTTAAAAAGTGCGCTTGCACAAGCATATTTGTTGCTCAGTGACTGCATCATCAAGTAATGACTGGGGTCACTTCAAATACAACTTGGGGAGGGAGTAGCCATTGTTAGGCAGCTGCAGCCAAAACAACAGAGAGTCTTGTGGCATCTTAAAGACTAATTGGTTTTTTGTGGCGTAAGCTTTCGTGCACCAGAACCCACTTCATTGGATGCAAAAATAAAGAGCCTTTCGTACATTCATTTGTGAGTCATCAAGTGACAAACCATGAAGTGATTTTCATACGTGTGTGAATCAACCCCAAGAGGTAATGTGGTTCAATTAGCAAACAATACAAAAAGCAAATAATTAAGGATGAGTTTATTCCTTAAAGTATTTATGTGATAATTGCACATAATGCAAGTGCAATAAATCACTATCCTGAATTATCTTGTGTTCAATCACCATGGGTTATTGCCATCCATCACACAAAGTAGTTTCTCAATAATGGGAGCTAATCTGGGCGATGATTAGTTTGATGTAGGCTGGCTATCACTTCCAAATAGATGATTCAGCATTGGTGCTAATGTGTTAACTCATCTACATTTAACGCTTAAAAATTAGCTTGTCTACACACAACATAACTAGGCTCAGGTAGAGCCTTCCCAAAGAGGTGGTACTGCAAGTCCCACCTACCCTAGCAAGCCTCTTCTACCACTTTTTCTTTGCCTGATTCCACTTCACTCAGATTCTTCCTGTGTGCTCCAACTCTGCTCATGGAGTTACTTTCTACGAACAATTACAGCTAAATTCATCTTCCTTGTTCAGAGACAATAGACCTCTGCATTACTGGGGACAAAAAAGGGAGAATTTTGTTGTCTTCATGCTCTGTTTGTAAGCCCCTCAGAGCAATGTTCCCTCTAAGCTGTGGAGTCCTGTGAGCAAAAATTCTACTTTGTGAGCTACCGGCATCAAAGTTGTGAGCAAGTGATTTGGCTGCTGCATAGATTAGCTTGCTGTGAAGCCATCCTTCCTGAGCGAAGACAAAAATGTGTGAGCCGGAGGCTAAAAAACTGTGAGCTGGCTCACACTAACTCAGCTTAGAGGGAACACTGCCTCAGAGGTATTTGGCAAGCCACTGTTGGAAATGGAGTTGTAGAGTAGAAGGAGACAAATGACTTGCCTAAGACTGCAATTGGAGTACAAGACAGAGAGACTTTGATAGTCAACTATCAAACCAATCCTATGACTTCATATTTGCTGCTTTAACATGCATGTTACTTAAGGCAAACTACAGAGGCTGAGAGCTGCAACTTGCCCAAAGCTGCAGTGTTTCCTCTAAGCTGAGTTAGTGTGAGCTAGCTCACGGTTTTTTAGCCTCTGGCTCACACATTTTTGTCTTAGCTCCAGAAGGATGGCTCCAGAGCAAACTAATTTATGCAGTAGCCAAATCGCTCACTCACAACTTTGATGCCAGTAGCTCACAAAGTAGAATTTTTGCTCACAAGACTCCACAGCTTAGAGGGAGCACTGGCTGCAGGTGAGTTCAAAGCAGTGGTGGGCGTGAGCCCCTCCAATTTTTTGAAGGCCCAAAACATTTCCCTTTCAGTTAATGGCCCCCCAAATTAATTTCCACGCACAGATTACCTTCCGTTTAATATTGCACACTCAGATCCCCCAAATAATTTAAATTTTCTGTAAAACAATGACCCCCCCACCCAGTCCCAGTATCTTCACACATGGTGTCTCAGAGCTCTCTTTTAGGGCAGCCCTATTCTTTTTATTTGCTCTCCCTCCTCCAGTTTAAAAAGGTCAGACTCAGGCCTGACTTAACAATAACGCGAGTGAAACAAAGGAACTGAACTGTCTGACTTTGCACACACCCAACATTGTGTTTAAATTGGGGTTGTACGAAGTGACTGCACATACTGTTTTTAGCATGCCAGCACAACGGCCACCTGTGCTCGGGTTCTCTGGCATACCAACATGGCATGGATAGCCACTGGTGGCCCAGTTCAAATGAAACACTGGGTGCCTGTGAAGCCATACAGGTAAGTTGTTTTACCCCACCAGCAACACTTTTAAATCAGGCTTCAATGAGCAAAGGGGATTTGTCAGATATGAAATTTGCGGCTGCTGTCCAGTCAGCAGCCACCTGATGCCCTCCAATGCTATCTGCCCCATTATGCTCTCTTCCAGGCTCCTCCTCCATTTAAAAATCCCACAGGTGATGGTGTGGCAGTCTGGCTTCCATTGTTGGGGAATGCAGGGAGTGGATGCTGTGAATCTTTTTCTGCCCCAGAGCCCACAGTAAGTTAAATCACAATCTTAAACAAATAAACAAAAAGATGGCAGTCAACCTAAGATGCCAAATGGCTTAAAACACTGCCACCCAACCATAGATTATGCTAGTTCACCTAGATTAACCAAATTTAGATCAATTTAAAAAACTGAACCTAGATTTGTAGACATAAAGTTAAAATGAAGGCTATAGGACGCCCTGACCTGGATAGCCCAGGCAAGCCTGATCTTGTCAGATCTTAGAAGCTAAGCAAGGCTGACCCGGGCAAGTATGTGGATGGGAGGCCTCCTTGGAATACCAGAGGTGGGAGTGGGGGCAGGCTTGATTCAGCCACATCTCTGAATATCCTCCTGGCCCCCAGTAGGGGTCAGTCACCAGAGGTTTCCATGGCTTCCAGGTACACACATGCACATTTTTTTAAAAAAGAAAGGCTATAGGTATATTGCTACTCTGTTAAATGAATTAACAAGGACACATCGTTGGGAGTTTTTGCACTTTTTAAAGAGTCCCTTTCTTCTCTTTGAAATACTTCACAGACAGCAAAAGGTAACAGTTGCCTATTCAAATTAAATAGCTCAGTTGTTTTAACCAGGAAGCTTTTGCTTCAGGTTTTAGGGATTGTGATTAGAGGAGAAGTAGGATAGGATAGGAGCTGCGGTGGCTCAAGTGGTTAAGATGCTGAACTGCAGGCTGTGGAAGGTCGTTAGTTCAGCAGTTCGAGACCCGAGTTGCAGCATGACGGAGTGAGCTCCCATCTCTTGTTCCAGCTCCTGCCAACCTAGCAGTTCGAAAGCAAGAAATTGCAAGTAGATAAATAGGTACCACTTCAGTGGGAAGGTAACAGCGTTCTGTGCGCCTTGGTGTTTAGTCATGCCGGCCACATGACCACGGAAACGTCTTCGGACAGCGCTGGCTCTTCGGCTTTCAAATGGAGATGAGCACCGCAACCCTAGAGTTGGATTCAACTGGCTTTCGAGCAAGGGAACCTTTACCTTTACCTAGGATAGGGGAAATGGTTTCACCCATAAATGTTATGCTCCATTCCTGCATCAGTGGCATGAAATCAGTACAAATGTCACAAAAGGGGTTGGTCCCCTTGCTGCAAAGTAAATGCCTCTTTGTCTAATTTTGGGGAGTACAGCCAAATGGGAGATATGCATTCCATTGCTACAGAGAAGTGGTGCAAGTCTTTAAATTAAAAAAAAATGTTCTGTATGGGATGTGGCTGAAAACTGTTACTCATGTTTGTCACTTTTATTTTTTTTTGAGGGCTAGATGAGCATTCCTACAAAATAATAGAAATGAATGGAACAACAATCAAATTAAAACAAAACAAACCATACCAAAATCTGTGCAGAAATGTCTGGAAGTGAATGACGTACACTGGCACCAAGGACATCACAGGTGCTATCCAATAGACACCCGTGACATCTATATAACTGTCTTACAAACAGGATTGCATTAAAGGTGGTGACACTAATTGGGGAGAAGGAACAATCCCCTTTAATGAGCAACAATGGCATAGCCTGAATGAGAGAGTTCAGTTCTTAATTCTCCGCAGTTAATGAGTTACAAGTATGCAGCCATAACTAATCAATCAATCAATCAATCAATCAAATGTCTGTAAAAGTCCAGTACTAGTCAAGTAGATCTGGTACCTCAGCAGATATGTGCTCTGCATTCAGAGACAAAGGCTAGAGGGAACAGAGGAAAAGGAACTTACCCAAGTTCATATAGGAGCCCAGAACGATGTCACGCAGAATTCTGATGATGGAATCCACACTTCTGTCTTTCATTTATAAACCATCTAATTCATTACTACAGGATGCTGGTAAAGTGTGAAATCCTTGGATACCAGTAGTGCTGACTACAGAAACCGAGCCTCTTAAGCTGAACCTCTGAAGTTCAGTTTGATAGTACATCTTATATACAAACAGATCATATTAGATATAACAAATATTTGTTTGTAAAGTGTACTAGGGAGCAGCAGGTAGGTCTACAGAGGTCATTGTGAATGCGCTCAGCTGTCAACAAACAAAGCCAGACCCTCACACTCCCTTGTCTCAGGAGTCAGATGCAAATACACAAAGCAAAAGGAAGTCTGAAAAGTTCATTTTAAAAATACAGAAGAAAAGTTGCTATTTCTAGAGAAATAGTGAAGAGTGCTCTCTCTTCCTTTCTTTTTTACTACAAAGGAAACCCTCTGAATCCCCAGCCCAGTGCCCCCACAACTTGCTTACCATTTTTAGCATGTCTGCAGCTGGAGGAGAAACCTTTGACCGATACTGATTGTGCAGATCCACAATCAGCTTCTTGTCCTCCTCTGTAAGGGACCAGCTCAGCTCCATCGCTGTGAGCAACAGGAGGAGGAGGAGGAGGAGGAGGAGGGGAATTCGCAGGCCTGAGCTCAGCATTGTGGCACTGTCTTGTTTTAACAGCCCACGGGTCTGGCAGACAGCTTTAAATCCCTTCCCAGAATAAGGAACACCCAAAGCCCAAGATTGCAAGGAGGAAATTTATCTTTTTATTAGAATGCATTTCAGAGCCATAGAGGGAACACACCCATCTCACATAGTATCACTGATGGAAGAAGAATAACGGTCCTTAAGGGACAGTCAGGCAAGCCATGCCCATTTTCTGAAATCAATTGTGTGCACAAAACCTGCACATCAGCTAGTCCTCCAAAAGTTGGTTTGGGGACTAGGCTGCTGTAACCTGATGCTTAACCCACCAATAACCTAAAGGCTAGCCCATTCAAGCTTGCACATGGAATACTCCTCCCCAAACATTTTACATGCCAACCAAACACGAAACATATTCAAGGCTGCCTGTACCCATTAGCAAAATTGCATTGGATACTGGAACTGTGTGTGGTGGCCAACAATACTAAGGAAAAACCAGGACCAAAGTCATTACCAGACTGGATCAGCCCTAAAGTATTTTGTATTAGTTCTTTGACACAGCACATTCTTCCCCTCTGGCACTGTGACCATGCAGAGTAGGATCCTATGCCTCTGTTCCTGTACTGCCAGAGTTTTCTTGAAGCATGAAGCCTTTTGCCAATACAAGAGGTTCTTCTGACTATGGAGGTGTATGATCCAACTCGTTATTTTAAAAAGTAACCTTAGTCTGTGCATATAGTTGACAAATACCAGTCTTTTCATTCTGACTGGGGAAATGATGGATTACAACTTGAAAGCTTGCATACTTATATACCAAAGTAAACCGATGTAAGTAGGGATGGGCACAAACAGAGAAAATGCAGTTTGGTTTGTGGTGTGCGTGGTTCGCAAACCACGGACCATCTCAAACTCTTTGATGCTAGATGAACTAGTTCGGTTCATGAAGTTCATTACGTGGCAAAACGCACGCCCCCCCGAGCATGCGAGAGACACCTAACTCACAGAGAATCTTTGGCTGACTCTCATTTACCTGGCATCAAAGTGAGGATTGGATTTATGGGGTCCGAGTTATGGCCCCCCAAAGAAGGTGCCCCCAGGAAAGTGCTTTCTGGGGAAATGACAGGTGCAAGTTCAGGAGGTTCAGGAGTATATAGAACAGATCCTGTGCAAGCTAGACACACCAAACTCACAGGGAATATCCAACATGACTCTCCTCTACCTGCCCTCCAAGTTTGGTGGTAGACAGGGTCCAGGCTATGCCCCCTCCCAAAGAAGGTGCTCCATCTTCTATTGTTTCCTATGGATGAAAAAAACAGCAAAAAAACAAGTGCAATAGAACCCCTGCAAACCAGAATCAAACTCCCAGAGAATCTCTGCAGTAGAAACTGAAGGTGGGGGGCATTTTTTCAAGCCCAGCAGAACCAGTGCCACTGTGGTACTGCAAACCCAATGGGACTAAAGTCAAGCCAGGAAAGTGCTTTTTCGGGAAATGTCAGGCACAGGCTCAAAAGTGTATAGAATGGACTCCCTGCAAGCTATACACACATAAGAACATAAGAGATGCCAAGTTTGGATCAGGCCAAAGGCCCATCCAGTCCAACACTCTGTATCACACAGTGACCAGAAATACCAGTGCCATCAGGAGGTCCACCAGTGGGGCCAGGACATTAGAAGCCCTCCCACTGTTGACCCCCCCCAAGCACCAAGATGACAGAGCATCACTTGCCCCAGAGCCCCTATCTATACCTTGTGGCTAATAGCCACTGATGGACCTCTGCTCCATATGCTTATCTAATTCCCTTTTGAAGCTGTCCATGCTTGTAGCCGCCACCACTTCCTGTGGCAGTGAATTCCAAGTGTTAATCACACACACACCAAACACACAGGGAACCTCACCCTGCTGCCTGCTCCTCTACAGTCTCTCCAAGTTGGGGATGGATTATATTTCTGGGGTCCCCATTACAGACCCCCTTGAAAAGGTCTCCCCAGTGCTCTATCTGAAAAAGAGAGTTGCAGTTACAGCCAGGAGTCTATGGACCAGCTCAGGAACAAGCCAGTGACACCAAACTCACAGGGAAACTTCACCTGGGCAGACCCCCTCCCCCGCCAGACACTGGAAGCAAGGCAAGCATCCTCCCCCACACTCACAGCCCCCCCCCCAAGTCTGCAAAGGCAGGTTCTGAAGGACAGAAAGGCAGACATCCCCAGAGCTTTGACAGGGGCTCCCCAAAGTTACCTCACAACAGCTTGGCAGGCACCCCAGCCTCACCAGAACAGTGGAAATCAGAGTTTTCAATTTTAAGTGATGCAATGACAGAAAGGCAGACATGACAAGAGAGTTCCGACAGGGGCTCACCAAAGTTATCCCATAAAGACAGCTTGGCAGGCGCCCCAGCCTCACCAGACAAGCAAGGGAATGTGCCCAGTGCCCACAACTCTCTCACACACACCAGGGCCAGTGTTCCCTCTAAGCTGAGTTAGTGTGAGCTAGCTCACAGTTTTTTAGCTTCCGACTCACACATTTTTGTCTTCGCTCAGGAAGGATGGCTCCAGAGCAAACTAATTTATGCAGCAGCCAAATCGCTCGCTCACAACTTTAATGCCAGTAGCTCACAAATTAGAATTTTTTGCTCACGAGACTCCACAGCTTAGAGGGAGCATTGACCAGGGCTGACACAACCTGCAGCGTATTCTTCTGCTCTGCAGTGGAAAAGAAACACCTGTCGGTGTTGGATTGGCTGGGCCACCCACAATTCTCCAAAGGCAGATTTGGAAGGACAGAAAGGCAGACATGACAAGACTTCCAGCAGGGGCTCCCCAAAGTTACTGCATGATGACAGCTTTGGCGGGCACCCCAGCCCCACCAGACAAGCAAGGGAAGCGTGCTCAGTGCCCACAACTCTCACAGCCACACACCCCTCCAGGGCTGACACCATGGTGTATTTTTCTTCTCTCCACAGGAAGCACCTGTCAGGCTGGCTGGGCCACCCATAATTCTCCAAAGGCAGATTTGGAAGGACAGAGAAGCAGACATGACAGGAGACTTCTGATAGGGGCTTCCCAAAGTTACCCCACAATGACAGCTTGGAGGTCACCCCAGCCACACCAGACCAGTGGAAACCAGAGTTTTCCATTTAAAGTTGTTAGTAATGCAAACTGTCTTGCATAATAAAGACTGTACAGTTTCTTGCCCAGCCATGTGTTTATGAACAGAAGTGTTGATGTATGTTACCACACTGAAATAAATAATGCACAGGGAACATTTTAAGTATGTTCCTAAGTAGTAGTTGTGCCTCTAGGGTTACTTTCATATTGGATGTTAGGACTGGCTCCTCTACAATCTCTCCAAGTTGGGGGTGGATCATATTTCTGGGGTCCCAGTTACAGACCACCCCCAAAAAAGGTCTCCCACATTTATACCCTCCCACCCCTCCTGAGTATAAACACCCCTGTGTGACGTGAGGGTGAAACTGGTTGCCGCCGTGTGAAGGGTGCTCGTTGTGGAGGGAAGAAATCCTCCACCCCCTCTGTAACACAGGCCCCTACCACCAAGCACCAAACCCATCCTGCCAGGCCACTAGAGCCTGGCCCCAGCAGGGCATCACCAGGAGTCTCCAGCCTCCTGCCCCTGGCTCTGGGGCTCCCCACAGAGGCAAAAGACTTGTTAGCAGCACTGCCCAGAGACACCAGCAGTCACTAACACTCTCTGGAGAGGAGGACTCTGACAACAATGATTCGGGGGGGGGAGCATCTTCCCCTTCCACATCCCAACTCTCTGTTGCTGCTCTTACCTTGACCACCCCATGGTTCCAGCTGCCGCTGGGGCTATAACTTTTTAAAGAGCCCCTCCCGAGAGCTGGGGGAGCCAGAATGACCTCTCGCGTGTGATGTCTGAGCGGTTGCCGCTTGGACATCACATGCGAGAGGTGGAATTTGCCCCTATGAGTCCAAGGCCACCACCCCGGTGCTCAGGGAGGCAAGGGAAGGTTTCACCCCGCCCCTCCCCACGCGGGTGTCGCAGCTGCCTCCGAGAACAGCGGTGGCGGCCATAACTTATTAAGCACTTCCCGAGAGCTAGGGGAGCAAGAATGACCTCTCGCATTGATGTCCGAGCAGCAACGCCGCTCGGACATCACACGCGAGAGGTGGAATTTCCCCCTATGAGTCCAAGGCCACCACCCCGGGGCTCAGGGAGGCAAGGGAACGTTTCGCCCCACCCCTCCCCTGGAGCTGGCATCACAGCTGCCGTAGAGAACAGCGACGGCGGCCATAACTTTTTAAAGAGCAGCTCCTGAGAGCTGGGGGAGCCAGAATGACCTCTTGCGTGTGATCCCCCTACACACGCGAGAGGTGGAATCACACGCGAGCTCCAGTGCGCTCTGGCAGGAACCGAGGCCTGACTCTGCCTATGTCATGATGGCACCTTTGGTGAAGCAGAAGAGCACAGTGCGGGATGTCATCTCCTCCATGACTGTCCTGCATGGATAAGAGGAGCTCAGCGTCAACTCCAATGACTGGCTGACCTTCTCCCAAATGGTGCGTGTCCTCAAGCCCTTCCAGGACACCACTGATAACATGCTGTGTGCCCAAACGGCCAGCCTGGGGCAAGTCACCCCCTGAATTGAGAGCTGGACCAGGTGCTGGCCCCAACACTGGAGCTGGCTGTTCTCCCTCGGGTCACGGCCTTGGCAGAGAGACTACAGGTGGGCATCACCACCAGGTTGCATCCTCTCTGCAATAAAGGGGGGTACAAGCGGGCCTGTATAGACTGTGTCCCCTGGGATAAAAGGTAGCTTGCTCTCCTGAATGCAGAGCTCTTGCAATGGAAAAGTGAGCTCTGCAAAGACTGTGGAGGCTGCAGGCCAACAGACATGGCTGGAGGGAGGAGCTGCAGCCCAGCACCTCTGCCTCAAAGAGCCTGTGGAGAAATGCATTTTTTTCTTTGGAAGTTTGAAATGAGCAAAACCTCTACTCTTGAGTTTTTAAAGTTGTTTTTTCCTTCTAGGCAGAGA